TCTTCCCCCCCCCGACAATTTCGCTTGCCGCCGTTCACCCAGCGTCCGCTTTTGTCGGATGAGGTATAACTCCGTGTTGCCCGCGATTTTTCTGACATCGGTGAAGGCGCGAATGCTATCGTAACCGGATCAGGTTTATCGGATCAAACCGTCGGGCCGGCCGCTTCGTTTGCCCACCGCGTCTTATCGCTTGTAAAAACTCCACAGCTTCGGAACCCCTTCTCCGCCGCTACACCGTCGTCGGGTAGACCGTTGAAGTTGGAGAAACCCCGACAGCTGCACCAATTTCTTCAGCTCCGATTTTTTCGGCGGGGTAATTGCTGCCGATGGTCCGGTTTTGTCGGTGCTGAACAGTGTCGCAATCTTGAACATTTTCCTGTACGCCCAGCTGTCGAACTGGCGCAATACCCGCGCTTTTTAGCCAGCACAGGGCTAAACACAGGGCCCCACCTTTGGATCCAGTGGCTCTTTGGTCTTACCATTGCCTTCGAGGCCTTCTGGGCGTGGGGTATGCGAAACGTCGGTGGACTTTGGCCGGTAGGGAGCTCCTTCTGCTACCGCCGCTTAGCCGCAAAACTCGGCCTCAGCAAAAAGTCGTCGCAGTAGGTCGTTTTCTCCCCTCCTGAAGCTCGAAATCCGTTTCTCTCGCCAGACCCGTATTTGTCGCAACTCCGTATATTGTAGCCGGTAGACTAGGCGAAATTCGCGTGTCTAGACGCTGCGATAAACCGTTGTCCTCGTCGGTGTACTGCCCCGTCTGCGACACAACTTCCCTTGATCAGGGGGAAACTGTGCCGCCTGAAGTACAGTGTCGGCTGCTGCTGTTGCTCCGAAATTTTCGGCCGACGTTGTTGCAGGCGCAGAAGTGACCCTAACGCGAACAGTCTAGTCGTAGGCGGCCTTTTCCGCACTTTTCGGTGGTTTGAAAATGACTTCCGTCCCACACTGTGCCGCTCCTGCCGAAAACGCCAGCGACGTGTCAGAATCCCAACCACTAACCATTGGGATAAAATGGCTTGTTTGTGTAGCGGGTGAGTGCGCCCATAACCCCTCAGACCAAAGTGCCTGTAACCCTTCCCTAGGATCAATCGGGGATCACCAGTAGACCTCTGACACCCCTCCGCACTAGGATGCCCGAAGTGCACACACCGGGATTCGAACCCGAGACCTTTGCTCTGATACCATGTCAGAATCCCAACCACTAACCATTGGGATAAAAGGGCTTGTTTGTGTAGCGGGTGAGTGCGCCCATAACCCCCCAGACCAACGTGCCTGTAACCCTTCCCTAGGATCAATCGGGGATCACCAGTGGACCTCTGACACGACGCACCCTCCTGTAGCCACACCGGCCACACCCGGGCTGGACGACGGTAGACCCCCGCTTTCTTCGGGCAGTCGTCACACCATCACTCCGCGCCGTCGCATTTTCCGACGCAAATTACCATGCGCCTGGCTGCTCGCACAGCAGTCGTTTTCCACGTGCTGCTACCCGAAATCTTCGCGCACAGTGACCACGATCGCCACGTGCCGAAGACCTCCGAAAATCTCGTACGCAACGTGACGAAGTCGCCAGACGCCACTTGCCGCGTGCATTAACTCCGAAATCTTCGTGCGCAGTTGACGACCACATGCAGATGTCAACTCGCACCACGTGTACTCCAGACAACTTCGGACGTGCAGTGACTTCAATCCTGGCGACGTCATCTGCCACATGAAATTACTCCGAAGTTGACGAAAACGCACGCAACTTACGCATGCATTAATTGCGACGACAGCAGAAGCTGTCCGCCACCCAGGGGGAGGGAGGCCACGGTCGATCTTGACCGTCGAGGGCAAGGATCCGTCGGTGCCGCAGGAGCGCCAGAGAAATTCATGGCCGCTATGAGAAACTACCCGTTCTCCTGGCCGGCTACTGCGCTACTCCTGTCACCACGGCATCCTTCCCTGTCCCCCCTCGAGGGATAAAACACTCTAAAAAACGGGTAACCTAGGAACTTAGGCTCTGATACCAAGTGTTATGAGTTGTACTAAGAAGAGTGCGCGGAAGACTTTATAAAAAGGATGAGAATTACAGAATGTCGAGAATGATAATGAAGTGAGCATTTATAGGGTCAAAACCGTGCTAGGCGAGGACCTCGATGTGCGTTGTTAGAATATATATTTATATATATTTATGTACCTGCCTGTAGCTGTAGCTTTAGTGTAGTTATAAACTCTTTGTATTGGTGGTGCACCTCCTTTGTCTCCTATTTGTACCCTCGAGCCTATAGTGAACCCCCCTTCTTTCTCGACATTCCACTCTCTCGCCACTCTCCTAGGTTCCTAACCTAGCCTAGCTTCTTGACATGCGTGGCTCGGGAATGTCGCAATTGGTGCGGGGCGACTCGGGGCTGGTTCGGTACGAAAGTGTAGGCCGAGCCCAAACTGACGCGAACAGTTCGGGCTGTCCTCGCTAGGGACAGTCTCTACAGTAATGAATTCTAATTCATTACAAAGACAGTGTAAGCAGTATTGATTTGCCCTGAGGTGTAGATGAGTATTTACCTGAATAATTTGTTGAATTCACTCGCACCTTTGTTGAGGTTATAGGCTATTGTATTGTAGGACGACATGTACATCTTGTACGGTAATAGCCGAATATACATTATGCTGTGCATTCCATACATGCGTCTGGTTTTTTTAGTGCTTGGTTTGTGGAGTTACCTCATTTTCACATACTATTGTAAATTCTACAGTATGATTTGACGTTGGGCTAATATGTAAGTCTACTCGGTACTTTCAACGGATACAGGACGCTGTATATGGAGGGTAGTAGACAGCTTACATTGTCCATATTTTGTGGTACGACATTTTTTTTTTTCACGGACTCGTGTATTTCACCACTGAGAACTTTGACTCTGCCCGCAGTCACCTGATGCTGGCTGGTTGTGTCGGTAATCCCTCGAAATCCCCACTTTTTCCTTCAAACCGCGTCACAATGTCGTGAGCGGCTCGCAAAATCGAAGCAAGCAACGCGGTTTCCAGACATTTCCCCTGCCCATCATTTGCAAAAAATCCTCAAAACGAAGCGCTGCGGCACGGGCTGCGGAATTTTCTTCTGCACCCTCCTCTGCGACCCACACGGGTTTCACACGCTTGATTCCATTCCAATACAGTTGCGCGTCCCGTAAACTCCACAAGCTATCTTGTGTCATAGGCAGCGCTGCTTCATTTGCACCTTTCCCGTCCTCACCGCCTGTCCCTCCTGTTACCGACGCCTGCCCATGGACAATCAATCCGTTTCAGGCGCTGCCCTCGATGCGTTTCTGTGATTTATACTAACTCCAGGAGGTACTTACTAGGATACGATTCAAAGACTGCTAACAGGAAGCCGCATTCACGTCTCCGTCGAAACTTCAAGACACCTATGTTTGCCAGCGCACAGCACTGCTGATAAGTGGCCAAGTCACCGTCTTAGGAGGCGTCACCGTCTTAGAACGGGCCACGTCACCGTCTTAGGAGGCGTCGGGTCTAACTTTATTCGGAATCGTGTCCACCCGAATCACATTCTCCCGAATCACATTTTCTCGAATCGCTTATTTCGTCTTGCTCCAAAAGTGAAGCTGGCGCCGCCGCAGCCGAGCTCATGCTTCCCCGCAATCGCGCGCATCGGGCCGTCGGGGGGGCGTCCCCCGCTTTGGCGGCCTCCGCGCGGCGGAAGCGGCGGAGGGTGCACGGCGGGGATACGGAACTCGGTTCCCCTGTGGGCGGTGACCATCGAGTCTTGTAGCGAGGACGAGGACTCTTCAGATGACTCTAACGCGTACGACTCGGATTCGGACAATAGCGAGTCGTATTCGGATCTAGGCTCCCCCGAATCCGAGCAAATGATCGTCCAAATCTTGGCGGCCCGAGAAGCGATCAGCGCAAAAAGCGCGCCGCAAGCAGGCAGCAGCAGCAGCAGTAGCAGCAGCGGCGGCAGCAGCGGCGGCAGCAGCAGCACCGGCGGGAGCGTTGAGCAACGGATCGCGGTGGGGAAGACCGCGGAAGGCGCAGACGCGGCGCGCGGCGCCGCGCACGGCGCGGCGACGGTGACGGCGCGCGCTGAAAGCGACGAATCCGCGGAACTTGCGCCCGCCGCTTGCACAACGGGACATGCGAGCGAGTGGGTTGAGAAAAATAGTGACAGTGCAACATGCGAGGCAGGAGCTGCAGAGCGAGTAATGGGAAGCAGCGGCGTCGCCGGCCGCGCCGCTATTGGCAGCAACGTAGCAGCGCACTCGCGGTCCGTGTCCGTGAGTGACGCCGCGGCGGCCGGCGCGGGTCACGACAAAACGCACCAGTGGCTCATGTCGCGATACCTCGACTCCGCCCAGCCTTCCGCGGATCCGTTTCTCCGCCGGTCGCCCTTCCGCCTCGATCTTCCGCTCTCCGCCGCCGCCGCGGCGCCTATATCCCCCGCGTCGCCTTCCCCTCGCGCTGCCGCCTATTCCGCCTCCGGCTCTCCGCTCCCCTGTTCCGCGGATCGCTTCCATTATTCCCCCTCCGGTAGCTATTACTCCGCCTCCCCCGCCCCCTACGCGCAACCGCCCGCGCCCCTCCGCTGCTACTCCGCCTCCCCTCCCGCCCCGCCTGGGCGCAGGCCGCCGTCATTCCCCAGACCCAGAGCGCGACCGCGAGGGGGGATCCGTACGCGTTTCTGCACGCCAGCCCGTTTCGTTACAGTCACGACTTTTACGACAGCGACGAGGAGAAAAACGGATATGCTGGCGACAACGGCGGTGACAGTAACGATGGTGATATTGATGGTGCTGATACTGATGGAATCGGTGGTGATAATGATGATGCGGATGGTGATGAAAACGGCGGTGACAGTAGTAGTGGTGGCGGCGGCGGCAGAGTGATTAATGGTGGGAGAATCAGTGGGGAACAGTCAAAACCGGCATTGAACAGCAGAAGCCGCAGCAGCCGCTGCATCCGCATCAGCAGCAGAAGCCAGCAAAATCCTATCAGCCCGGAGAATGGCCGAACAAACGAACCCATCAACGCAGACAGTGATGAGGCCACGTCAGCAATCAGATCTGCTCCAGGCCCGGGAGAAGCTGCCACGTGGCCATCTGGGAGTGGCGGCCCTGAACGCATGGATGAGTTGAGCCGAGCAGGTGTGGATTTGCAAGGTGCAAGCAGCACAGGTAGCAACAGCCCCAGCAGAAACGCCAGTGCCGACAACCGGAGCTGCAGAGGCAGCAGGAGCAGCAGGTTCGGTGGGGGTGACAGCAACAACAACAACACGAGTCGTGCTGGTGGGAGCAGCAGTGGCAGCACCAACCGCAGCAGGGAAATAGACCCACCAGCAGCTGCTGCTGCTGCTGCTGCTGCTGCTTCTGCTGCTGCTGCTTCGGCTGTTCCTGCTGCCGACAATGCTAGGCAGGTCACCAACAACGCTGCTGTGGACTGGGGTTCTCCTGTGACGTTAATTCCCTGCCCTGGCAATAAGGCTGGTATTCTCATGCAGCCCTGTGGCGCAAACGAAGCAGCTTATATCGAGAACCAGAGGCTGCAGCTGATACACTCCAGCTTTGAACGCCCACCACAGCCGTGCGAGCACCCAAGCGAACCGCTACACAACAGCGCTGCACCGGATTCCACCGCTCTGCACCCACTGTTAGGCTCAGAAATCGTTCTGGACCCATCCAAGAGGGTCCAGTGGTTCGGGGACTGGGACGACGGTCGCACGTGGAAAGAAACCCGCTCAAGAGCCCACAGGTGGAAACCGGAAGATACCCTCGCCGTCCCGGGGTTACCCGGAAGAATACCCATGCAAAAAATGGTGGAGTACGTGTGGGTGCTTCTCCTCCTAGCTATGGCGGTTACTGCAACTGGACTGGTGCTCTTCTCCCTGCTGTTCTGGGCTCCTACGGGTGCTGCTAAGGGAACCAAGGGGACAGTGTGGCTGGCGGTTACGGGTGTGCTGGGAGGGAGAGGCCTGGTGCTGGGTGGATACTGCTGCGTGCTCTGGCTGCTCCTGGTAAGTGCGTTGTCACGGATAGGGACCTCTGTTGCGTGTGAGGGAACCATGGGGACTGTGTGGCTGGGGGGGAGAGGCCTGGTGCTGGGTGGTTACTGCTGCATGCTCTGGCTCCTCCTGGTACGTTCGTGTTATAATTTTTGAAACCTTTCTTGCTTGCTGCCAAGGCCCGTTCATGCGGTCATGCTGTGATTGTGTCGTGTATCTCCTTCATCCCACCAACTCTCGTCTTCGTCTTCACCGCCTCCCTCCCAGCAGCTCTCTTCCTTCTCTTTCTTGACAACCCTCCACATCTCCCCCACCTTTTCCCCTGCCCATCTTCTCCTTTCCCCCTTCCAGCAGGGGAAAGAGCTGAAGCAAGCAGCGTGCTACGCCTCGGCAGACCTCTCAACAGCCTCCCTCCTAGCAGCCCTCTACCTCTTCTCCCCCTCCACCTCCCTCACCACCCCCATCGCATCCTACCTCCTCGCCCGCTCCCTTTGCGAGCTCCTCACCCTCCTAAGCACCTGGAACTGCAAGGGTCGTGAATGGTGGACGTCTCTACTAGCCGTCTGGCCGCCTCTTTTCCTCGGAATCAGCCTGTTTTTCTCCCAGCCGACGGGGAAAACCTGGTATATTGTAGCGGTTACTGGGGCGTGCTGTATGGTGGACGGGGCGCCGCTGTGGGTGGCGTGTGTGGTGCTGAGAGTGCGGCTTGTGGGCGGGAGGGGGAGCCTGCCGCAGCATGCGAGGGGGTGTGTGAGGAAGGCTGCTGCAGTTGGGACGTTTGTGCATGGAGTGATAAGGCTGCTGCCACTGGCGCTGTACTTTGTGGCAAAATATGCATTGTAGTTGTAGACACTGTTTTTTTAGGTCAGCAGTGAACTGGGCAGACATATTATGTCATGCATACGAAGGGGTTGAGTGCGGTTCCTTAGTGAGACATTTCTTAAGAGGAAAAAAACATGTGTACTGTATATCAATATCAGTGTTGAGACAAATAATCAAGTCAGCAAGGCCCTGCACAGGGCATTGGCAAGCAGGCACAGGAGACACTAACCGTAAAAGAAACTGCCCGTACAAAAAAAAAAGGTGGGCGGGTGGGGGGGGTGGGGGGGGGGGGGGAGGGAAAGTATGGACGAAGGGAAGAGAAGAAAAGAAACGTGCGCTGCTCAACAGCACAAAGACGACCACATAACCCATTAGGTCAAGTCTAGGATGAGGATGACACAGAAGCCGTGTCAACAACCTTAAGCGGTCTGGTCCTCCACACCACAGGAATTGCACTGTCAGGTATTGCGGTATCACACTGTCAGATGCGCATGCGCCAAGGTATGACGCACGGTACTGTCAGACATCAGATTACTGCATCGCAGGTAACACTCCTGGCCGATCAGATCACAGGACGCCAGGCTGTCAGATCAAAAGTCATGCCGCCGGGCCATCACACTACAAGGCATAAAACATCTCTCCACAGCTCTGCACCACCTCTCTCACTGCATCGCAGATATCACTCCTGAGTCCTGACCCTCCAACCCTGGCCCTCCAAACCTGGCCCTCCAAACCTGGCCCTCCAAACCTGGCCCTCCAAACCTGGCCCTCCAAACCTGGCCCTCCACCAAACCACCTCATTGTGCTGCAGATGTGCTCCCCCTACCACTCACACACGTGGACACTCCTCTTACTCATGAGTAACTAACTTCCTACCCACTCACTACCATCCCCTCACTCTCCCCCTCACCCCCCCTCACATAATCCTGCACCTCCTTAACGGCCCCTTGTTCTCCCCCTCCCTTCGCTATCCCTCACATACTCCTGCACTTCCACATACCCACTGAATCTCACTCTCCCTGCACCGCTCTGCACCCCTGCAAGAACCCTTCGCGTTGCACTTCACACTACCGCCCTCTCGTTCTCCCCCGCCCCTCGCTATCCCTCACATACTCCTGCACCTCCACATACCCACTGAAGCCCACCCTTCTCGGATTTCACTCAACTTCTGTAAAAACCATAGAAAGGGCACCTCCCCTTACCGCCCTCTCGTCCTCCCCCTCCCCTCGCTATCCCGCACATACTCCTGCACCTCCACATACCCACTGAAGCTCACCCTTCTCGGGCTACTCTGCGCCTGGGGGTGCAGCAACCTCCCTCCCTTCCCCTCCTTCCCTTCTCTCCCCTCTTTCCCCACACTACCCTCTCCGCCTCCCCCCTTCCCCAGCAGCGGCGATGCATGCCGGAAAATAGGGCTCACACTGGAGCTTCTACCACTGTCTGCCTTACTTCCGGTATTCCCAAGGTTGCTCCCGGTATTCCCAAGGTTACCCCCGGTATTCCCGAGGTTCGTGTCGATGCTGTTGCTCTTGAGGGCGCTGCGGAGAGGCATGGGAACTCCGTCTATAAACACCACCTGCGCGCGGGACGGGCTGGGGCACGGGCTCGTTAGTATCACAGCTCCTCCCCTGCCGCTGGCCCTCACTGGACTCTTGCCGGTGTTGCTGCTGGTGGTGGTGGCGGTGCTGCTGGTGGTGGGGGCGGTGCTGGTGGTGGTGGCGGTGCTGCTGGTGGTGGGGGCGGTGCTGGTGGTGGTGGCGGTGCTGCTGGTGGTGGTGGCAGTGCTGCTGTTCATAGGGTTGCTGTTGCTGCTGTTGCTGCTGTTGCTGCTGCTGGATATACTCTTTCTGAGGTCGAAATCCACGCTGTAGGTTCTCCTGCTCGCCGCCTGCCTCTTCTGCTTCAGCTGCTGTGAGAGGGACTGGCCGTTGTAACCCACCCGTTGCTCCTTGCAGCTATCTCCTCCTGGGGCAGGTGCAGCTGGGGGAGGCGAGGAGCGGGGAGGGCTAGGCGCAACTGGGGGAGGTGATACCCTGGGAGCGCTGGCAGTTGGGAGCTTGGTTATAAGGCTGGGAGGAGAAAGCATTTCTGGTGTATTTATATTGGAGCCAGAAATTCCAACTTTTGTTTTGAATGTTACGTTTGTAACAGCACCCGGACAATTGTTCGCTGCAGCTTCTAGCCGAGCTGCTGCATTCGCGAGTGTGGCTGCCGAACCTGCAGCTTCGGTCCGGATGGCACGTGAGCGTTCGGCTGGGCTGTTCGGTGCGGAACCGTGAGCGAACCGCACTGGAGGTTGGGCGGTATTCGACGTTCGCGTGGGTAGGCTTTGCGAAAGCGTTGCCCCCGTTCGCCCAATCGCAGCGCTTGCTACTGCGACGGCCGCAGCACTGCTAGGCGAAAGCTCAGGCGACGAAGCATCAGGCCCTTTTGCAACCCCACCGACGCGTGGCTGCTGCGAAATCGAATTCTCTCCAGTTACACCTGTACGACGTTCGCCGCTAGTTCCCTCCAACCTTCCCCCGGCCGTCCCGACAGGGCTGCGCGCCGGCCATGCGCCTGTGCCTGGGGGACCCTGCCCACTAGCGCTTCCGATGCGCACGCCGCCATTCGCCGCAGCTAATCCCGCAAGCGCAGATTTCGCGGCTGCGTCGCCCTGAGGCATGCTGGACATGCTGTTGCGGCGCCGCGTTGGCACCGCGAGAGGCGCGGGGGCTGCGCGCCGGTAGTTCCCCACATGCTCGCGGCTGCTGCTCTGCAAATGCTGCATCTGCTGCTGCATCTGCTGCTGCTGCTGCTGCTGCTGCTGCTGCTGCGGCTGCCCCACACGATGCTGCTTTGACTGCGCCGCCTGCGGCTCAAGTGCCACGGGATGAACAAGCGCGGGATGCGCAAGCGCGGGTTCCGCGCTCATGCTCCGCGGCACTGGCTTCAGAATCGGCGTTGGCTTCCCCGCGCGATTCGCAGCTGCGCCGGTACCCTCCGCATATGCACCACCATCCTCGGCCGTAGCTTCACGTGCCGCGGAAGAAGGCGCCGTCGCCGATTGCACGATGCGCGCACGGGGAGAAGAGCGTGCGACCGCGGGCACGGACGCGGATGCGGACGCGGAGCGACTGGTGCCCCCTGCGGCGGCAACGGCGTTAACGGGCGCTGCTGCACCTAGCGCCCTCCCCGCGACAGAAGGGGAGCTCGGCGGACGCACAAGGCGCGCAGATGGGGAAGGCACACGCGGGGACAACTGCGCGGCGCTTATGGCGCGGCGGTGGGTGGGTCGGGGAACTACGGCAGCGCTGGCGCGCCCGAGCGGGGAGAGCGGGGGAGCACCAGCAGAATGTGGGGGAAGGCTCCGCAAGCCAGGCATAGATCCCGCGGGTAGTTGGGAGGCGGCGGAAGGAGAGGGAATGGCTACGGGGAAGCGCGGAGAAGGACTGGGGGAAGAAGGTGACTTGCTGCTATCCAACGGTTGTAGCCTCAGCTTGCTCGCGCCGCTGCCCCCGCCGCCGCCGTTGGCGCCGCCGCTACTGGCGCCGAAGCTGGTGCCGCCGACGGTTCCGCCTGTTTTCGGGCTGCCAATTCCCGCCCAATCCACAAAGCCCATCCGCGGCGCGAGCTGCACTACAGACGGTCCTGTGCGCGATCCGCCGCTCCCGCCGGAATCTGCGACGGTCACCGCCGCCCCGCGCTCGATACCCATGCTGGCGGCCAATGCGGCGGCTGACTGAGAGCCCGCAGAAACGGAGCGACGGGATAACGCCGGATGCAACTTTTTTTTGGCCTTAGCGTTACCGTTAGCGTTACCGTTAGCGTTATCGTCACCGACAGCGTCCAAGCTCTCCGCGCTTGAAACGTCGCCGATGGTGGCAAACCGCGGAAAGACGGCGCCTGGGCTGGGGTACAAGTCATCGACGGAGGCATCCGAGTCGCTCTTGCGGCGCGGGTCGCGCGGGCTACCATCGGTATTACCGCAATCTGGGTACAGATCGGGGAAACCGCGAGTTGCGGAGGGCGCTGGCGGCGCCACCGCGGAACCCTGGCTCGATCGTGCGGAGAGCGGTGGTGCGCGCTGCGCTTCGGGGGAAGCCGCAAAACTTATAGGGCTGCGGCTGCGGGTGGTTGCTCGCGGAGAGAGCGAAGTGTCGAAGTCCCCCACTCGCTCAGAAGCGGTTCGGCTACGAATAAACTCTCGCCGCGAACCCGCTGCGCTACTCCCCGCGCCACTCCCGCTACTCCCGCCACTCGCGCCTTCGCGCTCGGTGAGAGCGCGGGTGAGCTTCACCTTCCCGTCGTTTGCGGAAGTGACCGCATTCCTCGCGGCGGAGAGCGCAGGGCCACTTTGCGGAGACGTAGTTGCTTCCTTCGCGCGTCCTTGCGCTCCGCCATGTGCTCCGCCCTGCGCGCCGCCCTGCGCGCCGCCTTGCGCGAGTGACAATGGGAAGTGGAACTCGAGCCCGCTGGACTGAATGCAGCTGACGGAGCGCGTCCGGTTGTGCGACCGAGCCGTCGTCCTGCTCTTGCCGGCGGCGGCGGCAGCGGTTGTACCGGCGCGGGACGGCGGCGGGGAGATCTGAGACAGCGTCACGACTCGAGGCGCCTCGGTGTTCGTCCTGCTCCTGCCGGCAGAGCTGAGGGACGGCGGCGCGGCCCCAGGCTCTGCGACGACCACGGGCGACATTTCCGCAGCCGACGCGGAGTCGCAGCGTCGCACTGGAGCGCGACTCTTCTTCGGTTTCGAGTCATCAGCATTGTTGCCGCATGGCGCATTAGTAGCCACGGGGCGGTGGGTGTTAGGGTTACTACGGTTCGGCTGCGTCACAAGAGCCGCGGACGAAGAGAGAACGTTGGGAGATCCGACGGCTGTGGGTGACCAGATATTGCCGATCATGCCGCTCTCCATGGCGCACACGTAAGCGCGAAGAGCGGCGGGATTTAGGGACGTGATGAAAGCGTTGCCTCCTGCGCCAACGCCCTCTGTCCCCGTCGCCATTGATTTGCTCCTAGGTCCTTCGTTCTATTGTACAAATCACTCTTCTCAAACCAGTGTCTTGTATCAGTAGCGGACGGCGTCAGGCTAAACAGAAGGGAGTACAGTACAGGATACCAGCAGCTCAGTGACCCCTAGGAGTTCCTGCGCTCCTACTGCTGCAATGGTCAAACTCTGGAATGTGCACTTTCAAAACGAGAATGGAGACGGGAGAATGAAGAAAATATGGAAATACAAGTAAACGAGGAATTTGGGTGGGGGGAGGGATGTGGCACGTGGATGCGCTTCAGTATAAACGTTCGAGGTTGGAAAATGGGAGCGAGGCAAGTTGCAGCAGAGAAACTGCAGCGAAGGATGTGGTCAGGTCAGGGCGCTGGAGAACCACATGAATTGCTGCTCAGTATGGCTCAAACGACGTTGGCCAAGTGGATTAACGCAGGTCAGGCCACTCAGACTTTGAAGTTTGTCTGGTGCTCAACAAAGTTTACAAGGGTACTTGTCGACAAACTCCCTTGTTAAGATTTGGATCCCAAACATGCAGACACAACACAACTTGTTCAGAACAGCCGAGTCAAACCTGCCAACTCGAACCTGTGGCTTTAGGGTAATCTTGGTGCAGAGAGGTTTTGGTGCAGGGAGGTTTTGCAGTAAATGGAAAGAGTTTTTAGCCCAATGTCGAGTTATGTGCGCCGTCTTGTTGTACCCCTTCCAGTCCAGGCAAAACAGATTTGACGAAATCGAAAGTTCGGCTCGATCGTACAAAACGTTTCGTGTCAGGCTGATCTGACGAATCGACGGTTTGCCAATGCTGCTCGCCACGTAATGCGGGCAGCTTCTGGTTGGATGGGCGTTCGCTGACTCAACAATGCCCACAAGCAACACTGTAGTACAACAGCAGCTGACTCACAGGTAAGCAGTGGTCCTAAAGACTGCCAAGTGGTGGGGCTTTTGGTTGGCTGGTGGTGAGGTGAAAAAGGGCGGCGAGGGGTGGAATAAAGGGGGAAAGCGGTTGGGTGGGGTGGGTTGGCCCTGGGAACGACGATGTTGGGGAAAGTGAGGGGCGGTTTGTACGGACAGAACCAGCAGGGGAAGAATCAGATTTCGAAGAATTTTGTACAGTCGGTGCTCATTTCAAGAACACCAGGTAGGCGGGCGGCATGTGAGTGAAACGAGTTTTGGACAAATCGCCACATTCGCACTTGTCGCCACGGGCAAAAATGTGATTGTAAAATGAAATTGGAATGTGAAACGAAACTGGGGGTTTAAGTTCGTAACCAGGTAAACAATTCTGATGACAGGCAGCCGTTGTTGTTTATGAACTGTAGATGTTTTTCTTCCTCGACTTGGTGACTGTACCCTGAAATCAGCACAATCACCACTCACAGGCAAAACGTTCGCGAGTGACTGATTTTCTAATTGTGCTAATCAAATTTTTATGATAGGCTGAGCATCGACTGTATTGTACTGTTCAAGATGTGATCTCGAGGTTGTTGCAAAGACGAAGGTACTGTACGTTACAATATTTCCACCAGCTCGTTCCATATGCTTGCCCAATAGCTAAATTCGACTAGTTACAAACTTAATGTAAAATCATAATAAATTTAATCTGATTGTTTCACACCATTTTATGTATTGTTCTGTGACAAATATCAGTATTTAAAAACTCATTCGGAGAAGGCATAAAGCTTAGTGCAATTTAGAATCATTAGGGCGGGGTCAGCAGCGCGTTCGTTTACAGGCTCATTATAATTAATTAAAAGTTGTTACTCTCGTTGCGTCACGGTTTACAGCGGTCGGTATTGAAAACCGCTGTGAACCATCTGGAATCCTTTTGCTCCTTGGCGGATGGACTTTACAAATGTGATGAATGAGTGCGCTGACCCCGCCCTTAGATCACAAGCATCACATAATTATTGTCAATACGCCCCTTATTCGTCAGAGACTTTAACAACACCAGTCTACTTCTTAGCGAGAATAGATTGCCAAGCCAAACCCCTCATGCGCCAGAATTCATTCAGAAAAATTCCCCCAATGGATAGCTGACCAGGGAGCCCCGTTGTCATTCACGGGCGCCCCCCGAAACCAGCCCTTTGTAATGCAGAAGCTGGCCAAGAGTTCGCCCAGAATGTTCAGGGCATTAAGGGCAAATGCCCTTGAATCGACAGGCCTGCTGACAACCTCACGCTAGAAGAGAAAGACCCCGGAATTTCCAGTCTTCTTGCCACTGTTCAGCATCCGGAGGGCTCTTAGCAAACCTCGGATAACAAGCTGGATAACAGGGTAGCTGACAAATAGTGCTCCATGGTTTCCATACCACACCACCATACTGAGGACATCTCATCCCATTTCCGAGAAAAGGCGGCCGTCCCTTAAAACCCAGAGTTTCTCCCCCCTCCCATTCCACCACCACGCCGACCAAACCCTGCACCTCTCCTACCTCTTCCCCTTGAACCAAACCCCTCACCACCCCTCCCCCCACCCCTCCCTCCTCCCCAACCACCACCTCTTCCGAACCTGCCACCAAAGGCTGCACCAGAGCCAGGGCCCTGAGGCCCGGGCAAGAGGGCGCCCTTGTGAGGTCCGGCCGGAGCTGATTTTTCACCAGCGGTTGCTGATTGGCTGGTTGGAGGAGGAAGGAAGTAGTTTTCGAATGAGAGGAGGGAGGCGATGGTGTAGAGCGTCAGTGCTTGGAGAGGGGGGAGAGGTTTCCTGGGATCATGGACCTGAGAGGGGAGAGAGTGAGGGGGCGTGAGAGGGAATGGGAGGCAAACGGAGAAAGAAAAAACAAAGGGCATAAAGAATAAGTTACAGAAGGGTTGCGATAGTGTAGAGTGCCATTGCTTGGAATGGAAGGGGGAAAGGGGTTTCCTGGGATCATGGAACTGAGAGCAGTGTGAGAGAAAGTGTGAGGGCGAGTGAGACGGAGAGGGAGAATGTGAGAAAATGAGCAGAGATATAACCATGCAGCGTGTAGGTGTGAGAGTGTGTGGGAACAGCCCAGCAGCACCCACCTTGGTGGCAAAGCTCAGCCCAGCACCCACCGGCTCAGCCCAGCACCCACCGGCTCAGCCCAGCACCCACCGGCTCAGCCCAGCACCCACCGGCTCAGCCCAGCACCCACCGGCTCAGCCCAGCACCCACCGGCTCAGCCCAGCACCCACCGGCTCAGCCCAGCACCCACCGACTCAGCCCAGCACCCACCGGCTCAGCCCAGCACCCACCGGCTCAGCCCAGCACCCACCGGCTCAGCCCAGCACCCACCGGCTCAGCCCAGCACCTACCGGCTCAGCCCAGCACCCACCGGCTCAGCCCAGCACCATCCAAACAAACACCCACCTTGGTGGCAAAGCAAGCAGCCAGCCTCTCCCTCAGGCAGAACAGCTGAGCCGCCAGCATGGCCGTGGTGCGGAATCTCAGCCATCGATCGATCACGATCACGATCTCACGGTCAGGATCGCTCATGAGTTCCTCCTGCAGTTTCCGCCTCCTCTCCTTTGCACTCTTGGGATTCGGCCTCACCACAGGCCCCTCCTCCTCCTCCCCTTCCTCATCCTCCGCACCTGAAACATACTCCCCTTCCTCCACCTCCTCCTCTTCCTCTCCCTCCTGCTCGTCGCCCTCATCCCCCTCCACCTTTTCAACCTTCCCTATTTCCATCTTACCCGGTTCGCTTCCTTCCCCCACTGCTTCCCCTTCTCTCTGACCTGACCCTGTCATCACCCCCTCCTCTCCCCGTCGCCCCCTCTGCCGTCTCTTCCTTTTCCGAACCTCCACCCCCAGATCACTCTCCCCTGCATTCCCTTCTCCTTCACCTACTTCTTCCCCTTCTCCCTTCGCGTCTCCCTTCCCTTCTCCCTTCACCCCACTCCCGTCCTCCTCCTCTCTGCCAGCCTTCAAAGGCGCCAAAGGAGCAACAACCATCTCGGATGCAATCAGGATGAGAGACAGTGGACGAACCACAGTCGACGATCTAATCGTCTGGTTCCCCTCGCCCCGCACGATCTCATCAAACACAATCAACGGCTGTGATGACACCTCGGCGCTTCCGGAGCTACCGCTCCCTCCGGCGCCGCCGAGCGTTCCCGAACCTGCCTCCAAGCCTCGGTGCAAGGCTCGGAAGTTGACCGAGTGCGGGTGGATCCGAACCTTCTCGCCTCGGGCCGTCACTACCACCGCCTGCTGCCGCCCGGAGGGTAGTTTCGGTAAGAGACTAGCTACAAACGGGTACAAACCAGCAGCTAGCACTGCCCTCACCACTCCCTGATTCTTCCCATTCGCGTTACACTCACAGTCCAAATCCACATTCAAATCCCACCCTCCTCCTCCTCCTCCTCCTCCTCCTCCTCCTCCTCCTCCTCCTCCTCCTCCTCCTCCTCCTCCTCCTCCTCCTCCTCCTCCTCCTCCTCCTCCTCCTCCTCCTCCTCCTCCTCCACCTCCTCTGCCTCCTCCTCCCCTCCCTCTCCCTCCTCCCCACCTCCCTCCTCTCCCCTCGCGCGCACTCCCTAAAAACCCTTTCCGCAGCAGCTCCCCTCGCAGCTGCTTCCGCAACCCAGAAATCATCACCATCCCGCCCGGCGACAGGAAATTCCGCCGGCAAAACGCATCCCCGGCCCGCGACCCCCCCGCTGCTTTCGCCTGAGCCCACCCGTCAAACGCCGCAATGAGCGCCAGGTGATCCCCATACCCCCCCAGTGAGTTCCCCAGCTCGTGCCTGACAGCCAGCGCCCTGTGCTTCTGCTCCAGCCCTAAAGGCATTTGAAACGGGTCCCGATAGGTGCTGGCAGCCGCGACGGTGAGCGCTGGGCCGAGGCAGTCGAGGAGGATGGAGTGAAGGAGCATTTTGGAGGTGACTGGGTGGAGGGGGAGGGCGCCGAGGTGGACGCCGAGGGGTGTTAGGGACTGGTGGGGATCGAGGGCGCCTATGTCTTGCAGGAGCGCGACGGCGTTGGTGATGGCGGCGGGGACGGGTGGCTCGAGGGCCTTGGAGAGGAACAAGGGGATGTCGAGAGAAGGGTCTAGGATCTTGATCTGATGGACGGGGGAGGGGAGGGGAGAGGAGGGGAGCGGGCGGACAGAATGGGGCAAGTGGAGTGAGAGAGCATTTCAGAAGGCCGGCCTTCCTAGACCCTTCCTGGAAGAGGGGGATGTCTAGCGAGGGGTCTAGGATCTTGATTTGACGGGGAAGGGGAGGGGGAGAGAGAGAGGGGTCATTGGGGGAGGGTGTGGAGGAAAGGAGAGACAGGAGGAAGCGGGGAAAGCGGGGAGGGTGCACAGGAGGAGGTCTGGCAGGGGATCAGGCCAATACTACGAGCAACCCAAACAACAGCACGCACTGCACCTACGAGCACCGCACACCACACCTGCAGTCACAGCTCTGCCAGAGGCGTGCGTTTGAATTCCGGCGCCTGGAAGTGCAGCAGAGTTGGCCCGACATCACAATCAACCCAGCCCACAGCACCGCACTCTACTAATCACCACCGCACTACACCTGCGAGCACCGCACTGTACCTGCAGGCAGAGCTCTTCCAGGGGCGTGCGCTTGATTTCCGGAGCCTGGAATTCCGGCAACGACTCAGCCCGCGTGCGCGAGAAGAGGTGGAAGCACACCCCCGGCCTGCACCTCCCTGCCCTTCCCTGGCGCTGCCGCGCACTCGCCTTGGAAACCCAGCAGACCTGAGTGGGAAAAGGGGAGCGAGAGGGAGAGAGGGAGAGAGGGAGGAGGGGATAGACTCGGTTCGCATGCGCGAGAAGAGGTGGAAGCACACCCCCGGCCTGCACCTCCCTGCTCTGCCCTGGCGCTGCCGAGCACTGGCCTTGGAAACCCAGCAGACCTGAGGGGCGAGAGAGGGGGAGAGGGAGAGAGAAGGAATAGAATCAGCTTGAGGGTACGAGAAGAGGGTGGAAGCACACTCACTCCCGGCCTGCACCGCCCTGATCTGCCTAGTTCCTGCCACGCACTGGCCTTGGAGACCCAGCAGAACTGAGGGGGGGCAAGGGGGGCAGGATTACGAGGGAGAGGGGGAAGGAAATGAGTGCATGGGCTTGTGGGCGTGAGAAGAGGTGGAAGCACACTCCCGGCCTGCACCTCCCTGCCCACCCACCCACCCAACCACCCGTTCGACGCCCCAACCCACCTGCAGCGTGGCGACATTCGTGTACGGGTCATAGCTCTTCTCCTTGAGTTGCCCCAGGTCCACCACAAACCCAATGTCATCAATCGTGAGCGCCGTCAATGTGGCAATGCTTGTGGCGGCTCTACTACAGGCTCCCACTAACAAGCAACCCCCTCACACCCACCTTCCCTTCGCCCCAACCAACCCACCTGCAGGGTATCCACATTGCTGTAGGGGTCGTAGCTCTTCTCTTTCAACCTTCCCGTGTCCACCACAAACACAATGCCGTCAACTGTCACAACACCCCAAGCTGCCAACCCTCTCACCCCCCATCCCCCCAACCCACCTGCAGCGTAGCGACATTCATGTACGGGTCGTAGCTCTTCTCTTTCAACCTTCCCGAGTCAACCACAAACACAATGTCATCAATCGTCAGCGCCGTCTCGGCGATATTCGTCGTCAGCACAATCTTCCTCACTCCTTTCCCCGGCCGCTCAAACACCCTCCTCTGATCCGTCATGGGGATTTTAGAATGCAGCGGCAGTATCAGGAACCGCGACGAGTCACCAAATACAGATGACCCTAGCAGCCTGTCTCTGAGTCGGGAAATCTCCTCCCACCCAGGGAGAAACACGAGGATGGCACAGTCGGGTCCATTCAGACCCGCCCCGCCGTCCCCTGCTGCTGCTCCTCCTGCTTCTCCTGATCCTCCTGCTCCTTCGCCCTCCCTGCCTTCCCCGCTGTAAGTCGGGATGAGAGATAACAGCTCGTCCTCCTCTTCTCCCTCTCCCTCTCCCTCTCCCGCTTCTGTTTCTTCACCCTGTTTCGGTTTCCGGTGGGCTTTTTTGGAAGAGGAGCAGGAGGAGGAGGAAGCGAAGACTGTGCTGCTCTTGAGTGCTGCCGGCCGTTCGCCAGCGCTGACGCAGATCCTAGTCAGCAGGAGGTGGATGAGGGCCAGATCCACCTCATCATGATCCACACTGGATTGGTACGAGGCGAGCGCTGCTTGTTCCTGTGCTGCCAATCTCGCTTCTTCTGCACTCACAGGCGCAGACACAGCAGAAGCATGAGCAGCAGCAGCAACACCAGCAGCAGCAGTGGCAGCAGCAGCAGCAGCAGCAGCAGCATCAGCTGTCGCTGGTACCAATACCGCAGCTTCCTGCATCCTTCCCTGCATTCCCTCCGTCTCCTCCTCTTGTATTCCCTCCTCCTCCCCTTCCTCTCCCTCTTCCTCCCCTTCCTCTCCCTCTTCCTCCCCCTCATCAACCTCCTCTCCCTCCTCCAGCCCTCCCAATCCCAGTTTCCTCAAGTGCCTCTCAAGAAGGCAGCACACAGCCTCATGGCCGTACATGCGCGCCCAGTCAAGTGCCGTGCTGCCATCGTCTGATGTGAGAGTCACATCGGCCCCCAGCGACAGCAGCATCTCCACCTCCTCTGCTCGTCCTTTGCCTGTTGGTGATTTAACACCAAGGGGGGGGGGGGGGGGGGGGGTGGGAGGAGAGTAGGCGGGGAGAGAGGGGAGGAGAGGAGGCCAAAGGCGGGAGCAGGAGAGGAGGAGGAAAAAGCATGTGCCTCTCGAGAATCCGGCACACAGCCTCATGGCCGTACATGCGCGCCCAGTCAAGCGCCGTGCTGCCATCGTCTGATGTGAGAGTCACATCGGCACCCAGCGACAGCAGCATCTCCACTTCCTCTGCCCTCCCCTTGCCTGTTGGCGATTGCAGTCGGGAGAAGGGAGAGGGGGGACGAGGAGGATCGAAGAGGTGAGGCCACGGGGGGATGAAGGAGAGGAGGTGCGAGCCCAGTCAAGGACCGTGCTGCCATCGTCTGATGTGAGAGTCACATCGGCACCCAGCGATAGTAGCATCTGCACCTCCTCTGCCCTCCCCTGGCCTGTTGGCGATTGCAGGGGGAGGGGGGGGGGTGTGGCGTGGCAAAATGACTCATGTCATGCCGTTAATGCAGCCAGTTATGAGTCCTACATGGTTCTTTCTACTATGACTCATACCACCAGATAATTCTAAAAAATACCAGGGCTTTGGGTATACCGTGCGTGGCAAACCACGAAAAACATGTATGCATATTTTCGAGTATGACTCAAAGCAGAGGATTCTCAAGAACAGCATGAATCATGGCATACCGTATGTGGAGGCAGTAAATGAGAGCAGGCTTGTAGAAAGTGTTATTTTTAGACGTCTCAAGAATACACTTTCTACTCATGGCATACCGTATGTGGAGCCAGAAAATGAGAGCAGGCTTGGCACACACACAGGCACCCACCAGCAGCAACCATCAAGGGCGTGGCTCCCGTCTCTGAATGTGCATAGTCACATATGTTTATAGTCACGCCTCGCCCAACACCCGCAGCCTTTCTCCCTTTCCCTCTCTTCTCTCGCTTCCCCTCTCCTTGCTTCCCCCCTACTTGCTGCAGCTGACTCTCCTTTCTCCTCCGCCTCAAGAGCCGTCTCAACATCCTTCCCCCGCCACCGCTACCTTTCCCCCCTCCACCTCCCCCCTCTCCACTACCATCGCCACCATCACCATCACCGTCACCACCACCACCACCACCACCACCACCACCACCACCACCACCACCACTGCCGCTGCTCCGTGCAGCTGCCATCATCATTCTACTCATCATGCCCTGAAGCTTTGCCTCCTCATGCCCCGCTACTACCAGCTCCATTAAGTCATCAAACTCATCCGCCATCCATGCGAGCCTTATTGCCTCATCCATTGCTGCTGCGTCCTTTGCTGTAAGTCCTACCACCTCCCCTTCCTCCACCTCCTCCTCCTCCCCCTCCTCCTCATCCGTCTCCACCTCTGCTGCTCCCACTCCCCCCTCCCCGCCTGCTCCCTCTCCCTCCTCTCCCCCTGCTTCCTCCCCTTCTTCCTCCTCATCTTCCCCCACCTCCCCTTCCTCCACCTCCTCCTCTCCTTGCTCCACTCCCTCTCTCTCACCCGCTCCACCCATATGCACGTTGGCTTGTGCTGCAGCTTTCCCCTCCACATCCATAGTCTGATGATGAAGCACCTTGCTCGAGGCCTGGTTCCTCTTATGAAGTGCTCCTTTATAGAAAGCCCCGCCAGCAAAATTGTTGCCATAGTTTGTGATGCGAAGGATATCCTCCAGGTACAGTGATCGCACCTGCAGCGCAGTAAATACCGGAAATGGTTTGTGATAGTGATGCACCATTCTACCAATACTGGTACAAACGAAAAGAAGAAGAAATTTACAAGAGTCTGACCGGATATGTGAAGCCAGGGACGTTGATGACCGGGCAGCCCCCAAAATAATTTGCAAACAGCCCAGCATCCAGGGTTGCACTCATAAGCACCTGGGGGATATTAGACAATCGATTGCATAGGATGAACATTTAATTGACATTTGACACATCTCAAGAAAGAAACTGGTCAATCCCCATAGGAAAGATTGATAAATACCATCACAGAAAAACTATTGTCATGCCTCGAAACAGAGAATAGTCAGTCCCCGCATAATAAAAGAATAAATAAATAAATACCACAACAAACTGAATTCTAAGTCGTTCTATGAAAATAAATAGAATCGGGCAGCTGAATCCATGATGGGTCGACTTCTAATTCTCAAAAGAGAGGATAAAAAATCTGGAAAAAAAAAAAAAAAAAAAAAAAAAAAAAAAAAAAAAAAAACACTGAAACCTGAGATCTGTCTGTAAGCAACTAGTACGCCCAGCAGCAGCAACACAGGCAGAACGGGAAGAAGAAAGGGGAAGGAGGTGGGACGAATGACTGACTGACCAGCTTGAGAGTGGGTCGCAGGCGCAGCAGATCTCTGAGAATGATGAGCATGAAGTCTGCAAAGCGGTCACGCTCATGCACCTCGTCCTGGTGGGATGATGGGGGAGAGAAGAGGAGGATGGGGGAGAGAAGAGGAGGATGGGGGAGAGAAGCGGAGGATGGGGGAGAGTGTTAGTGCTAGCCCTCAATTTCACATTTTGTACTGGCACTTATATATCCTAGTGTAGTGTAGTTTGCACTTTTATACCCAAATGTGGTCTCCAAGCAATCTCCAACCCACCAATTGGAGCTTGCCTTGGGATTACACCCAATCCCTAAAAATCGCCCCCAATTCTTTTCCCATCCATTCTTTTCTTATCCTGGATGTACTTAAAGAGCTTCGAGCTCATTAGTAATGCATGGATTCTAAGCTTAAGTTCTGACAGAGAGAAGGGGAGGATGGGGGGACAACAAATTTCTAGATGTCTCAAAAGTCAGCAAAGCGATTGCGCTCATGCGCCTCGTCCTGATGGATGGGGAGAGAAGAGGAGGATGGGGGAGAGAAGAGGATAGAGCAGGGAAGGAACCCATAAAGGAGCAGACGCATGGGATGCAGAGAAGAGACAGGCCAATCGAGCATGCCATGCCATGCCATGCCATGCCTAAAACATGGCAGCAGTGCCATGCCTAAAACATGGCAGCAGTGCCATGCCTAAAACATGGCAGCAGTGCCACTCACCACAATGATGTGAGTCGCATCCAGCTTCGCCAATACATCACCATCCATCCCCCCTCCCACTCCCCCCGTCTCCTCCCCTTCTCCACCTCCCCCTCCTTCCCCCTCCCCTCCCCCCTCCCCCTCCCCCTCCCCCTCCACACCTTCCGCCATGCCCTTCACAGCAGCAGCTATAGCCTCTCTAACCCCCGGCTCCACAACACTTCCCCCACCACCTCCCCTACTCCCCCCTCCGCCCTGCGCGCCCCTCCCCCCAGCGGCGCCATGCAAGTGCGCCCCCAGCCCCACAAGGCGGCGCAGCAGCACGCCATTGGTGCAGAGCCACAGGGACGTGGCACGGCATCCTTTGGACTCTAGCCGAATCTGGTACCCCACTGTTTGCCCGATGCTTTCCCCTCTCTCTGCTGCTATCCTCTCCGCCACTAAAGAATGGAGGAAAAGGGAGAGACGGGAATGGGCGGAAGATGAGAGAGGGTGTTAGAGGGACGAGCAGAGAGTGAAACAGAAAAGAGGCCAAAGAGCCCCACAAGGCGGTGCAGCAGCACGCCGTTGGTGCAGAGCCAGAGGGACGAGGAGCGGTTTCCCTTCGACTCCAGGCGAATCTGGTAACCCACAGTCTGCCCGATGCTTTCCCCTCTCTCCGCTGCTATGCGCTCAGCCACTGAGGAACGGAGAAACAGGGGAGGCGGGCGGGCGCTAAGAGGGGGGGTTTACCAGGGGTGGCAGAGATTCTCCTTGTGTTCAGATGCCTCGATTAAAGTGATTATTACACACACGCACGCACGCACGCGCGCACGCACACACAATAAATATATATATATATACATATATATATATATGTGTATATGTGTGTATATACATATATGTATATATGTACATATATATATGTCAGCACCATCTGGTGCCTTCATTGTGCGCCAGTGGATACCGTATCAGCATCAGTCAAATCTGTGGAGCTAGCACCATGGCACCACCGCCGACCAGAAGTAGCCGAAATTCGTCTTGGCTGAGTGCAGAGCACGCGGCAGCGCCGGCCCTTCCCCCACTCGTGGTGCAGGATAAACTGAGGCACCTGCGTGGTCTTGTCTTGCCACACCCCGTGTCTCTCTTCTAGCGCGCGCACACCCACACCCACACCCACACCCACATTCACTCTCTCGGCTTGTTGAAATCGATTCCTTACAGCCAGCCTCAGCGGACCAATTAGCAAGGCAAGCATGCTCAAAGCTCTGTGTAATTGGTCCGTGTGGATGCTACCACCACCCACCAGAAGTGGCGGAGATTCGTCTGGGTTGATTTTTGAGGCGCCTAAAAAATCGCAAGCATGCTCAAAGCTGTGTGCTGTGGATGCTACCACCACCCACCAGAAGTGGCGGAGATTCGTCTGGGTTGATTTTTGAGGCGCCTAAAAAATCGCAAGCATGCTCAAAGCTGTGTGCTGTGGATGCTACCACCACCCACCAGAAGTGGCGGAGATTCGTCTGGGTTGATTTTTGAGGCGCCTCAAAAATCGCAAGCATGCCCAAAGCTGTGTGCTGTGGATGCTACCACCACCCACCAGAAGTGGCGGAAATTCGTCTGGGTTGGGTGCAGAGCACACGGCAGCGCCGGCCCTTCGCCCACTCGTGATCCAGGATAAACTGAGGCACCTGCGTGGTCTTGCCACACCCCGTCTCCCCCACAATCAACACCACCTGGTGCTGCTCTATCGTCCTTGTAATCTCCTCCCGATACACCATGATGGGTAATGACTGCCGTTTCTGTGTGATCTGCCAGGGATGGAGGCGAGAGAGAAAGCGGGTGTGTGGGTGGCGGGAGAAGGGGGGGTGGGAAATGGGGAGGAGAATGGGAATGAGAGAACTGAGGCACCTGCGTGGTCTTGCCACACCCCATCTCGCCCACTACCAGCACCACCTGGTGCCGCTCTATCGCCCGTGTGATCTCCTCCTGATAAGCCATGATGGGTAATCACTCCCCCAACCCACCGCTTTTAGAGTCTAAAGAACCCCACAGGACCACATTCTCACCGCTTTCAGTGATGCCATGTGCGCCAGTCTATCTGCCAGAACCTTCACCTGCGCCTGAACCAAAGAATCCCTCCCCAAACCCACCGCTTTTAGAGTCTAAAGAACCCCTCAGAACCACACTCTCACCGCTTTGAGTGATGCCATGTGCGCCAGTCTATCTGCCAGTGCCTTCACCTGCGCCTGCACCCAAGGGTCCCCGCTTTCCCCCTCCTCATCCTTCCCTTTCCCCTTCCCCTTCCCCTTCCCCATCTCCATGTCCTTCCCCTGCGCCTTCCGCTGATCTTTTCCCCCATTCGCTCCCCCTCCCCCCTCCCCCATCCCAAGTCGCGCCATAGCCCCTGTCACTCCCTCCTCATCGTCCCCATTACCAGCCCCCCCTTTCCCCGCGCCAGCTCCCCCTTTCCCCGCACCAGCTCCCCCTTTCCCCGCACCAGCTCCCCCTTTCCCTGCGCTAGCTCCCCCCTTCCCCTGCGCCACTCCCCTTCCTGCAGCAGCGTCCGCCAGATACCCCCCTGCCTGCATTGCTGACGTCATCTCCAGCTCCGTGGGGGGGTGGGCCAGCAGCAGCGCCAGCACAGCAGCTTCGGACTCTGGCGAGAGGGTCAGGCTCGGGAGGGAGTCCGCTGTAGGCCCGGTGGAGCCCGAACCTGGCCCTCCTGGAGTCTTGGTTCGGGAGGTTCGGTAGACTGTCAATCTACGGTTAGATCCTTTCCTGGGGGGGAAAGAGGGGGAAAGAGGGGGGAAGAGGGGGAGAAAAGGGGAAGAGGGGGAGAAAGGGGGAAGAGGGGTTTCAGGAAAAGAGGGGGAAGAGGGGGGAAGAGGGGGAAAAAAGGGGAAGAGGGGGGAAGAGGGGGAAAAAAGGGGAAGAGGGGGAGAAAGGGGGAAGAAGGGGAGAAAGGGGGAAGAGGAGAAAGTGGAGGAGAGATGAGGAAAGAGGAGGAAAGAGGGATAGAACGAGGAGCAGATGGAGCAAGGATCAGTGGTGGCATATACTTGAGAAATGAGACCACACAGATGAAAAGTGGTGGCTAGTTTGGCAGCAATTGCCTGCCTATATGCGCAAAACAACAGTGAAAAAACACTCGTACACCCGAATATCAATGCATGCGTACAAGTAAGTAGACGATTCTTTAGGCGCCTATAATCATCGGTGTATCAATGTATGCGCACAAATACATAGCTGCACACATGAACGAACGCCTACCGTATGCGGCTACGTGTGCATACATAGCCACTTTTGAAGATACTCAATAATGATACAAGTATGCACACATACCCATGGCTTTTAAAGACAAAGCCGGCCCTGCGGGGTGTTTTCAAGAATTCTCAAAACACCCTGTAAAATAAGAGGCAAGTGTACACACATACCCGTGGCTCTTAGAGACGAAGACCCATCTTCCGGCACAGCTGATGCACCACGGCCCTGTCATGGTTGCTCAAATCTTTGAGACGTCTCAAGAACCACATGAAAGCATTTCTCCCCAGACAAAGCACATACCCATGGCTCTTAGAGACAAAGCCCATCTTCCGGCACAGCTGATGCACCACGGCCCTGTCATGGTTGCTCAGATCGGCCTCAAACGTCATCTCTGGGAAAAGAAGAGCCACAGAAGAGGGAGGGGGGAGGGTAGAGGGGTTTGGTAAGATGCAAGGCACACGGAAGACCCTCGGGACTAGTTGGTGCACCACGGGCCTGTCATGGCTGCTCAAACCCGCCTCGATTGTCAACTCTGGGAAAGAAACAGACAGAGGGGAGGATACTGTACGGGCGGAAGGTCAAGCATGGACCGCGAGCACTCGAACATCGGACGCATCTCCGCCTGCCGCGATAGAAGCAGAAGGCTGGTCGCGCAACGTCTGAGAGAAAACGCCCGAGATTTCACCTGGGTCCGTTCCGTCGCGGAGCTCTTGTAGCCTGGCGGAGACAGTAATCCGCGTGGATTCCGACACTGGCCGCTTCCCCGCCATCACGGCGAGCGACGTAAGGTCGCTCGAGAAAGGACTGAAATCGAATCCTACCTGGTTCAGTTCCGTCACGGAACTCTTCTAGCCGGGCAGAGACAGTAATCCGCGTGGATTCCGACACTGGCCGCTTCCCCGCCTTCGCGCCAAACCGGTTCCTCCCGTTGTCGTCCATCTTTCGATCGGCTGTGGAACTCCGATCGGCTCAAGGTGGCCTGTACGGCTCAGATCGCTTCGCGACAGATCAACGGTTATAATTGATTGATGACGGCCTACACGGATCAGATGCCTTCAGGACAGAGTGAACGGCTTAGAGTGGTTCAAACGTCTTAGATTGCTTCACGACAGCATAGCGGGTTCAAGCAATTTCCGTGCCAGGACTCAAATTCGCTATGCAGCCGTATCGGCGCGTATTATCCATTTGTCTATCCATTTCATTTGTACACTTGTATTCAGTATACTCACTTGTTTCGGTATTGTTGCTCGTAACATTCGAGGGTAAATTGCCATTCGCGAAAGACCCAGAAGCTGTCTCGACCTTCGTGGAACTCGATAAGCTGTTTCGCCACAATGCGAAGGGATGCATGCTTGATGTGACTAGCGGAGCCGCACGCCCCCAGTTGTCGTGCTGCGCAGGCTCCCGCCATTCTTTCCCCACCTCCCGCGCGGCTGCGCAGTTCCCCACGCACTGACGTGTGAGAGACGCCATGTCGGGTGGCACGCACAGAGAGCTCATCTTAACCGTCACCGAGCCATCAACACCTATAAAGAACTCATCCTCGCCCTCCATTTCTCCAGGCTGAAGCCTGTCAGTGACGCAAGTTTCTTTTCCGTACCTCTTTCCGCCAGCTTCGGTGGCGTGTCTGCTTGAGTTTTCTCGAGTTCTGTGCGCTTTTGCCGCCGCTGCTGCCCAGTGGTGCTGCTGCTTCTGTTTCGTTCGGTTCGGAACTTGGGCTTCAATCTGGGCTTGAGTTCCTTTGTGCCTATCGAATTTGTCTAGTCAAGTTTGAAAGGACGGAGGGAATTTGAGGTGGAGTTACTTGTTAGTTGTAGTCGCCATTGCTGCTGGTTTCTTGGTGTTGGAGATAAGCGAGAGGCGGAAACCGCGGCTAACGGGAACGCGGTTTGGTTGCCCGAGGTGTCTTTTTTTCTCGAGAATATTATCAAGTTCAGCTGTGCTCCGCTGTTGTGTGCTGAACGCCTTTCGCCATGGATACGCTTTACGTGCTGAAGGTGACGATATTTTCTTTCCATAGCTCAGCTTAGAATTTATGTCTCAGCGTTATCCTCCATGACTTCTTATTTCGTTGACTAGGCTGCTCGCTGTGTCCGCTTCGGTTCACGCCTCTTTCTTTTAGTTTTATTCTTTTGTCACGTTTGATTACCTTGTTACACGTGAAGACATGTCCCGTTTGCTTATCGTGAGCTCCTACGCTTCCGCCGTTCGTCGCCCTAGATTTAAATTTTGTGTCACCTTTGAGTACCGTGTCGCGGTGTTCTTCGTGCATCTCCTCTCGTCACGCCACCGCGGCTCTTTTTGTTAGTTGACCTTATTGTCAAGTTCTCTTACTGTTGACTTTGCTTGCTATTTGTTTCACTTCCGTGTTCTCGCTTCTTCCCTATCAGGTCAAGTGCCGCGGTGTTCTTCGTCGCATCTCCTCTCGTCGCGACCCTCCGGCCTTCGACCACGTGGACGGTCAGATTCGCAAGCTCTTCAAGATCCCCGCCGACAAGCCAATCACCGTCACGTACACGGATTCCGACGGTGACGTCATAACGGTTTCCACGGACGAGGATCTTCACGACGCGTTTATCTACCAGGAGCTGAATCCGCTTCGTCTCGATGTTGCCGTGGAGTCTGACGATTTTGTCGACGTTTGCAGCCTTGACGGGTCTGTCTACTCGTCCTCGTCGTTCGGCGGAGATGCTGCGCCATCTGCGCCGTCCGTCCCGTCTGCGCCGTCTGCACCGTCCGCTGTTGCTCCTGCTGCCGTGAATTCCACTCCCGCTCCTGCTGCTTCGGATTCAGCCGCCGACTCTGCTGCGCAGACTGTACCTGTTCCTCCCGCCCCTGCTGTTGACGAACCTCCTCCTGCGCCTGCTTCTGCTCCCGCTCCTACCCCTGCTCCTGCTCCGACGCAGCCCGATTCTGCCGCTCCTGACGCCTCGGCTTCCACCTCGGAGCCTGCTCCTGCTGCCGCTGATGCTGCTCCTGCTGCCTCTGAGCCTGCTCCCGCTGCCGCTTCCAGCTCGGCTCAGTCCAGCAAGCCATCCGTCCCTGAAGATCTCGATGAGGCGTTTGAGGCGAAAGTTGCGGAGTTCGCCACCGCGGTGGAGAATCAGATCCTGAAGGCTCTGGCGTCGGGCGGGCAGCTGGAGCGCATGCTGGCGCAGTACGGCCCGATTCTCAAGGACGCTCCTGGGAAGATTGCGCAGGTGCTGGCGACGGCGCGGCGCAGCGGGCTGGACGTGGTGTTTGAGCCGATTCTGGAGATGCACCAGCGCCGCCAGCAGCAGGACCAGCAGTATGGGGGATCCAGCGGCGGTTGTGGGTCTTCCAAGCCTTCCACGTCGTCTGCGGCTGATTCTGCTGCTGCTGCCGCTGCTGCCGATTCAGCTGCTGCCGCCGCCGATATTGCCGCTGCGGTTTCGGCCGATGTTGCCGCTGCGACCTCTGCAGTGGCTGCTGCGATTGCTGCTGCAGCTGACGCCCTTGGTCCCAACCCTGAGGTCGCTGCTCCTGCACCTACTCCTACACCTGCGCCTGCTGCTGCTGCTGCTGCTGCCACGGCTCCTGCTGCTGCAGCTGCAGCGTCGGCCTCAGATTCTGCAAGTGAGAGTGCTGAGGCGGTTCACTACGGCATCACATGTGACGGCTGTGACATGCGCCCTCTTAAGGGCAAGCGTTACCGCTCCCTCGTGTAAGTGTTGCTTTCTGTGAGCCTTTTTTCGCAAGCACGTTCACTGGCTGGCGCTTCTTATGCGGCCTAACCTTCCACCGGTTAGTCTTTGTCTTTTTTTCCTGCCTCGGATTCTTTCAGTAACCTGGTTTTTTCATGCCATTGCTTCTTTGTGTGGCCTGTCCAGGAAGCATGACTTCGACCTGTGCGAGGCGTGCTACAGCAAGGAGGGGTCCATTTCAGAGCACTACGAGTGCATCGTCAACCCTCCAGCTGCCAAGGTCTACTTCCCTGTTAAGCCGGCGGGTGCTGCTTGCTCCGCTGGTACTGCCTCTGGAACTGCCTCTGCGTGTCCTGCTACAGCAGCATCTGCCTCTGCTGCGGGTTCCCAGGGCAGTGCTGCAGAGAAAGCGGGCGAGGCTGCCAAGGTGGTGCATTACGGCATCATCTGTGACGGCTGTGACAAGCGCCCCATCCAGGGCAAGCGATACCGCTCCCTCGTGTAAGTGCCTTGCCTTCGTCATGCCCTTGTGCACTCTTTTTTGCTGCTTTCCCGTCTTGTCTGTAAATCGTTTATTGCTATTATTCCCCTTTTTTTTTCTTACTGCCCTTTTTTTGTGGCATGTTATTCTGATAAATTTTGCAATTTCTGTGTGTGGGTTGTGCAGGAAGGACGACTATGATCTGTGTGAGGCGTGTTACAGCAAGGCGGGGGTGGTGGCGGAGCACTATGAGTGCATTGACCGCCCTCTCTTCCGCCCCTCGCGCCTGCAGCACATGGCCGCGCACGCCGCTGCCATGGCTGGCATGGTGAGCAGAAAAGCCGTTGCAATTGCGCTGCTTGTTTATTTTTCCCTATTTTTTTCCGTTGGCTTTTTTTTTTTTCCTTATGTTCATGTCTTTTTTGCTCTGCTGACTCACCTTTTTCCGACTTCTCATTTTATTCCTCTTCCCCAGCAGCCAGAAGGAGGACGCCCCTTCTTCGCCCCACGCCCGCACTGTCCCTTCTCGCACCACTCCATGCCGCACTCTTGGGGCCCGGGCAACAAGCATCACCACCACCAGCACCCGCATCAGCACCCTCCCCATCACCACCACCCAAACAGCACTGCTTTCACCAGCAGCAGCAGCGTGGGCGGATCAGTGGGCGGGACAGTGGGGCAGTTGCAGTATGGCAGGGTGCATGGGCGGCTGCTGGACGCGCGGTATGTGAGGGACGTGAATGTGCATGACGGCACTGAAATGGCGCCGCTCACCCGCTTCACCAAGATCTGGCGTCTGCGCAACAGCGGGAGTGTTCCCTGGCCGTGTGATTTGCAGGTCATTCATGCGGGAGGGGACCTGCTTTCAGAGACCAGCACCGTTCCCCTTGAGGTGAGCCTTCTCTAGATGTCCCCGGCCCACCTCTCACGAGGTTCACCAAGATCTGGCGCCTGCGCAACAGCGGGAGTGTTCCCTGGCCGTGTGATCTGCAAGTGATTTATGCGGGCGGGGACCTGCTTTCAGAGACCAGCTCTGTGCCTCTCGAGGTGAGTTTTCTCTAGATGTCCCCGGCCCGCCCCTCACCCGCTTCACCAAGATCTGGCGCCTGCGCAACAGCGGGAGTGTGCCGTGGCCCTGCGACCTGCAAGTCATTCATGCGGGAGGGGACCTGCTGTCTGAAACCAGCACTGTGCCTCTCGAGGTGAGTCGTGAGACTTTTTTGCCTTGGAGAGATATGTAGACTGTCAAGGGCACGGCCTCGATCGCACATGTCTCTAACCCCCGTTTTTGGTGTTCCCTTTCCTCCCCTTACCTGTGTCTCCTGCCCCTTTCAGCTGCCACGTGGAGGCGTGTACCCCGAGCAGGAGGTGGACGTGGCAGTGGACATGGCAGCACCTGCCCGCCTTGGCTGCTACTGCTACATGTCTCTAACCCACCTCTGTTGACTGTTCCCGTGCCCCCTTCATGTGTGCAGCTTCCGCGTGGAGGCGTGTATCCCGAGCAGGAGGTGGACGTGGCAGTGGACATGGCAGCACCTGCCCGCCCCGGGCGCTACATGTCTCACTGGCGCCTGCTGGCTCCTGGTGGTCCCAAGTTTGGTCACCGCTTCTGGGCCCAGATCCAGGTCAGTATACCTCTGATACTCAGATTCACGTCTTAACGAGTTTGAGGGGCGTTTTCAACAAGTGTGCAGGGCATTGTTGGTTCTCGCCTCTTGCTCCTGTCAGTGCGCTTTTTTTTATTATTTATTTTCTTCGCTCATGTCTGTTTGTATGACTCTCTGTCTGCCCCTCATGCGTGTGGTGTCCAGGTCGTGGAGCCCAGTGCAATGGAGGAAGAACCAGCACCTCTCCTTGCCGCTGCCCCTGCTGCCGCTCCTGCTGCTGCGTCTGCACCTCCTGCGCCTCTTGTGCCTGCTGCTGTGGCTGCCGAGTCTGAGTCACCTTCCCTACCTGAAGTCGTTTCTGTGAAGGCCAGCCCGAGTACGGACGCAGCAGCTGATGCTGCTCCAGTGGAAGACGCCGCAGCTGGTGCTGCTGCTGTGGATCAGGCAGGTGCCGAGGAGGCTGTGGAGGAGAGTGGTGCGGTATCTGTCGTGCAAGTAGCAGAGGAGAAGGAGGAGGCTGGAAGTGTTCAGGCGGAGGAGGAGGAGAAGCTTGAAGTTGCTGTGCAGTCGAATGAGGTGGTTGAGGAAGAGCAAGCTGAGGAGGTGAAGGAAGAAGTGAAGGCGGAGGAGGAGAAGCAGGAGGAGGAGCAGGAGTGGGAGGATCCGATCATCACTGCGATCCGCAACGCTGCGGATAACATCGGGTCTACAGCCGCTGGTGCTGCTGCTGCTGCCGAGTCTGATGTTGGTGCAGCCATGGCTGCTGTGGGAGACGTGGTGATTGACGTCGCCCCTGCCTCTGCTGAACCTGCTGCGCCTGCATCTACTGCTGTTATTGCAGCTGCAGCTTCTGCTGAGGAGTGGACTGACCTGCGCGCTTCTTCGCCTGCAGACGACACCGCTAGCACCATCAGCACCACCACCGATGCCACCACTTCAGAGACCATCCCCTCTGTCCTCACTGCTTCAGACGTCTCATCCACACTCCTGCCGCCCCTTGCCTCATCCTCCTCCAATGCTGCTTCCGATGCCTCCTCATCTGTCAGCACTCCCAGGGCGGAGGACACTGCTGTCGGCAGCTTCTCCCTCGTGAACGTCTCCTACCCCTCCATTGCCTCCATTGCCTGTGTTGCGCCTGTTCCCGCTGCTCCCGCACCCGGCCAGTCCCTGTACCCCTCGGTTGAGAGCATTGGGGTTTTGGTGCAGGAGGCAGCTGCGGCTGCGGAAGCTGCTGCAGGTGCTGCTGCTGGTGCTGTGGCTGCTGCCGGTGGTGCTGTGACGGAGGATCTGCTGACAGGGGACGACTATGTGAATGTGTCTCAGGAGGTGCCGACCGCTCCCGTGCTTGTGCCTGCTGCTGTGCCTGCACCTGCTGCCATGCCGTCGCCTGCGAGCTTCCTGGATGAGGAAGAGGAGATTGAGATGGAGACCCCTCCTCTTATTGTCAACTCGTCCGCACCCGCTGCTGCTACTCCCAGCACTCCCGCCGCTACTTCAGAGGCTCCTGGTGCTCCTGCTGAGGCTCCTGCTGCTGCACCAGTTTCACCTGCCCCGTCTGCTGTTGCGGCTCCTGGGGCTGTGGCTTATGGCGGGAGGTATGACAGCCAGGTGCAGCAGCTGTTGGAGATGGGGTTCCCGTATCCTGCTCTGAATGGAGAGCTGCTGGAGTTTACCAGTGGGAACATGGATGAGGTGGTAACCATGCTCGTGAAGGTTACGACGGAGTGGCAGGAGAAGATGGACGAGCTCGAGGATATGGTGAGTATTTTTTTTCTGCTTATGCTGGTTCGTTTTGTGAACGCTTGGCCTTTTCCGAGCTTGGGAGCGTGAGTGATATGATTTGATTTGACGTGTTGTTTGTATGCGGTGGTGTGGTGTGGTGTGATGCGTGTGGTGGTGCTGTGAGCAGGATTTCACGGACAAGGAGATGAACATGCGGCTGCTGCTGAAGCACGATGGTAGCTACAAGCGCACTGTGCGCGAGCTGGTGGCGCTGGACAAGGCCAGCAGGAAGGCTGGCAGGGCTGATCGCGCTTAACTGCCTTGTGGGTCGTGTGGCGCCTCATGTGGTGCCTCATGTGGTGCCTCATGTGGTGCCTCATGTGGTGCCTCATGTGGCGTCATGTGGTGCCCCATGTGGCGTCATGTGGTGCCTCGTGTGGTGCCTCATGTGGCGTCTCAAGAGCACGATGGCAGTTACAAGCGCACTGTGCACGAGCTGGTGGCACTGGACAAGGCCAGCAGGAAAGCTGGCAGGGCGGAACGTGCCTAAGTTCCAAGGCCGGTGCTTGGTCGCGCTTCACAAGGCTGGTGCCTGGTGTATCCTTGACCAAGGCCAGTAGTGATGCTTGCTGGCAGGGGGAGAGGAGAGGTGGTTGCTGGTGACAGGGTAGTAGATCTTCAGGGTCTTTTGTGGTTATGGCTGTGGTTGGTACAGATGGTGCTGTTGTGTTCTTCTGTATGTAGCCTTGTATTTTCCTGTTCATATAGTGCAATGTGTTTGCTTCACTCGCTTTTGTTGGTTGTAACGTGTAAGAATTTCATACTAGATTTTAGGAAACTTCAGAATCAATGTGTCGCACGCGAGTAAATCTCTAAGATTTACAGCTCAGCACAAGGAGGGGTGACGTGGCAAATCCATTTGTTCGCCAATTTCCCGCCAAAGCGCCAATCCCCACTGGAAGCAGCACTTGCGGGAGGTAGAGCAAATTCCAAGGTCGCACGGGACGTTCTTGAGAATCTCCATCAGAAATATTACCGAGAACTGGACTTCTCTCTTCCTCGAGCTGGTAGCATCTCCATTTCGTTCTTCGGAAGTTCTTGTTGCTTCCCGCCAAGCCACGCTTTGCTGTTTTCCTCGTCTGATAAAAGATCGTTGCATTGAGAGAGCGTCATCTCGTCCTTTATTGACCGTCACTTGGACCGAATCATGGCGGCTCTTTCCGCGTCTTCCGCTCTGACAGCGGCTAGACTCACATCTCTTCCGTCGGCCCATTCTTCCTTCGCCCCACTGCGATCGGCGGGAAGAAGTCCGCGGTTCACTTTCCGCGTGCGCGCAGACGCGGCTGGGGGCGATGCGGAGCCCGCGGTTGAGAGTGCCCCCGCCGCGGGATCCGCGGAAGCTCCGCCGAAGAAGAAGACGATTCGGCGCGTGAAAAAACCGGAGGGCGGAAGCGCGGCAGATGATTTGTTGGCGCCGGGGCGGTCCGTGGAGGAGCGCGGTGTGACTGTAGAGGGCGTGGCTAAAGTGGATCGCGGAGAGAGCTCGTCCACGCTCACGTGAGTCACAACATGTCGCACAGTCCGTCTCCGTTATAGCCCAGACCGTCCCGGACCAATGCTGTCCAATGCGGTCCATTCGGTCCAAGTCTTGCGGTCCGTTGTCCTTCACGCATGGCCGCTGGATGTGCATACTTAACGTCGTTGTTGGATTTGAAAGGAGCGAACGGATAGCAGGAGAGCGATTCGGCGAGAAATGGTGATGTTTCGGCAGTATACAAGTTGGTAGCTTTAAATAGCATCGTAACAGGAAATGGGAAAAGAATGCTGTTTTCAGGCTCTTTGCATTGTCCCTCGATTTTCCGTTTTCCTTCTCTTTCCGCCTCATCTTCCTCCCCCCTCCGCCAGTCGCGCGCTGCGCACAGCGGGCGGGGATGCAGCGGTTCTCATTCTCTTAGCCTACATCGGCAGAGCCGTTTCGCCCATTCCGTGTGTTACCCCCTCCCGTCTGTTCCTCCCGTCTGTTCCCTCCTGCCCTTCTCTTCTCTTCTCCGCCAGTCGCGCACTACTCACAGCGGGCGGGGACGCGGCGGTGCTTATTTTCTTCGCCTACATCGGCAGAGCCACGCACGTGTCCACCTCCTTCACTTTCCCCTCCGCCGTCTGTTTCTCCCCCGTCTGTTTCTCTCCTCCCCCCACCCCCACTATAACAGTCGCGCGCTCCTCACGGCGGGCGGGGACGCGGCGGTGCTCATTCTCTTCGCCTATATCGGCAGAGCCACACACGTGTCCGCCGCCATAGACTGGGAGCTCATCAAAACCGCCCAACCCTTCCTGGCTGGTAAGCATGCTCATTTCCTTGTGTGACAGACAGTCCATGAGGAGGAGTCTCAAAAACGACGCACGTGTCCGCCGCCATAGACTGGGAGCTCATCAAAACCGCCCAGCCGTTCCTCGCGGGTAAGCACGCTCTCTTTTTCTGAGTTGAACGAAGAAATGAAAGAGCATGCACGAGTCCGCCGCCAGCTTCGACCCCTGCTCGCACCGCATTCCCCCCATAATTCTCGCCTCACACTCCCTGCCCCAAACACCAGGTGACTTACGAGTCGACTCAAAAGTCGCCAGCTTCGACCCCTGCTCACACCGCATTCCCGCCACAACCCTCGCAACAATAGATTATGTTGGAGAATACCGCCTCACTCTCCCTGCCCCACACCAGGCTGGTTCATATCTGCCATCATACTCGGTGACTAAGCATTGGCAAGCCTCTGCCATCATACTCGGTGACTAAGCATTGGCAAGCCTCTGCCATCATACTCGGTGACTAAGCATTGGCAAGCCTCTGCCATCATACTCGGTGACTAAGCATTGGCAAGCCTCTGCCATCATACTCGGTGACTAAGCATTGGCAAGCCTCTGCCATCATACTCGGTGACTAAGCATTGGCAAGCCTCTGCCATCATACTCGGTGACTAAGCATTGGCAAGCCTCTGCCATCATACTCGGTACCCCATACGTTCTCCCCCCCCCACCAGGTTGGTTCATCTCGGCCATCATTTTCGGCGACTACAGCGTCGCCAAGCCAGCTTCGGCCCCTCCTCACACTGCATCTTCCCCGCACTTCTCCCTTACACACACTCCTACCCCCCACACACTTTCCCCCCCCACCAGGCTGGTTCATCTCGGCCATAATTTTTGGCGACTACAGCGTCGGCAAGCCTCTGCCCGCATCGCCAGGCGACGCTGCCAAGGCGGCAGGAAAGACATGGGCGCTGGGCGTGCCGGTGAGTGCGTGGGTGCTGTGGGTGTGGTGGTGCTGGTAGCTAGTAAGGGGTGAGCAGGAGCAGGGTGGGAACGTTGGCAAGCCTCTGCCTGCAACGCCAGGCGACACTGCCAAGGCAGCAGGGTTAGACGTGGGCGCTGGGCGTGCCGGTGAGTGGTGCAGCACAGCAGATGTTACGGGATGGGCTAGAGGGGAGTAGGGGGTGCCACTAGAGCATGGTCGCCAGGCGACGCTACCAAGGCTGCAGGGAAGACGTGGGCGCTGGGCGTGCCGGTGAGTGGTGTGGGTGCTGTGGGTGCTGTGGGTGCTGTGGGTGTGTGGGCTATCTGGCGTAACACATTCTCATAGGGCCACCTTCTGCAACTGACTATTCCTCGGGATTTCCTTCACTGTCACTCCCTGATCTCTTCTCTTTCCCTTCCCCGCCGTTCCTCCCTTCTCCTCCCTTATCTAACTCCAGCTAGGCATTGTGCGTTCCGCAGTCTCATCAAGGGTCAGCCCCCCCCAGTGCCCTAGCTGCTGCTCTGCTCAGCTCCCCCCTACTTTGTTCTCCTCTCTTCCCTGATCCCCTTTCTCCAGCTAGGGATTGCGTTCCGCAGTCTCATCAAGGGTCAGCCTCCCCAGCTGCCCTCGTTACTGCTTTGCTCAGCTTCCCTCTTGTCTCTTCCCTCTCTTTGTCTCCCCGTCCCCTACTCCTCCCTAATTTAACTCCAGCTGGGCATTGCGTTCCGCAGTCTCATCAAGGGTCAGCCCCCCCAGCTGCCATTCCTAGCAGTCGCCATCGTCATGACCTCAGTGCTCATGCTCGGGTGGAGGGCTGCCCTCGCTGCTGCACTCCCGGGAGATGGCGGGGAGAAGTCAAAGCTGGACCGCAAGGGGAGCGTGTTTGAGCTGCTGGAGGTGAGGTGATAGGTAGTGCAATTGCAGTTGGGGCTGAGATTTTTTAGAACCATTTAAGGTTGTATCCCAGTGAAGAACTGGTATCCCAGTTGTATCCCAGTCAGGTGTCAATAACTGGTTGGTGTCAAGCATTGTTAACGGTTGACACCAAGTGGAGACGCGTGTGAGCGACTTTTGAGGCGCCTCAAAAGTCACACGCGTGTGAGCGCGACTCCAGCCTGGTGTCAACGTTTGGCACATTCCCGCGCAAACCCTAGCTGACACCAGGATGGATAGTCGTCCACGTGTTTTCCGAGTTGGTGTCATGACACTAGCCCCTCTTGACACTTGGCTGGGATATTATGACCTAAGGTAGAAGATGTGCACTCTAGACCATACTGTAACCCTCTCTTCCACCACACTCCTTCCCTTTTCCCATGATGCTTTGGTTGCAGTTGCTGACATCGCTTGTCAGGCGGTGGTGAGGTGATAGGCAGTGCAATGGCAGTGTGGGCTGAAGGAATTGAGTAACCCTGTAGGTAGACGAGGTGCATCCTATAGTGTACGAAAAATCACTGTAGTTTGCTTATGGTACTCGGAGAATAACCTGTAGCCGGACAAGCACTCAAGTAATGCTGCTTGGTGCAAGTCCCTACCGACTTGGTGGGAGGGTGGGTTGGGATGGGGTCCACAAATTGAAGGCAGCTGATGGATGCCCAATTGCAAGACATTTTCCACAATGTATGGTATGCACATCACGAGCATATTTCAGAATGCTCATGCTCCATGTTAGCTGTGGCCCTCACTGAAGGGTTCAAGTAGTTCCTGCCTCACCGGTAGTTCGAATATCTACAAGGTCCAACTGTTACTACAAATTGTTTAAGAAAATACTTTGTAAATTATCGAGGAAACCTTGTTATCGCGCCCGTTTCGCCAAGCTTTTTGGAAGCGGGAACACCTAACGTGTCGCACGTTATCCCCGTGCGCTGCTGCTGACATGGCATCGTACATTCTTGACTGTCCTCCACCACCACACCACAGTGGCGGCTTTCGCGCCCACAAAACCACCACCACAATCACCTACACATTCACTAACGAATAATCCGCTGCGGTAACCTGATGTCGCGTATCTTCCCCTTCTCCAAAAAAGGGCCATA